GGCCATCCCTGCATCTCCCTCTGCCCACATATATTCATAAATCTTCGCAAAAGGGTTTCCATAGGATTTGCCAAGGTGCTGGGAAGCAGGAAGGGCAGGGACGATGCCGAAGCAGCAGCTGGTGTGGGAAACCACGCGAGGCTGCCACCCCCAGCTGTTGGGAATGTGCTTTACCTCCTGACACTATCTGCGATAGTTAATTTAAGTCATTACAAGTAAATAGCGTGATACCAGCCACAGTCCTTATCAACATACCTTGGCGTGACCTTGGCATTAGTACATCTGTGAACAGGCTGTTCTGGCCTCAGACACAGAAACAATGTCTGGGGACTCCAGGTATGGAGATTTAAATTACGTGCCCAGCCCTTGTCCCAGCTATGATCCCCTGAGAGTTAAACAGAGTTTAAGTACAGCATGCGTGCGACTGTGCCTGCGGGCAGCTATCCCAGCTCAGCTCAAGCAAGCAGCAGGTTAAGCTACCTTAAGTAATTGGGTGCCTAAGTTCTTATTTGTGGTCTGGATTTCTCCCGCTACCTTCCCGCCTCATCCCCCTTCCTACATACACCCTTGTCCCCATGTAAGACGCCCCTGTACACCCTGAGATAACTTATTTATGTTGCCAACATGCAATGACATGCAATGCAGGGAAAATGTGAAGTGAGGTGTTCCAGGCAAGAGCAGAGAGGGGCAGGTTCAGAAGGGGCAGGTTCAGAAGAAGGGGCAGGTTCCTCCAAGCTCTGTCCTGAGCGTAGAAGTGGGTCCGGTGTGATTAAATGGTCATAAAGGAGAGCAGAGCTTAATCTTTTGTCTGCATCTTATATTATAAAATATACCAGGATCAATCTATTGTGATTGTTTGTCTTCATTGCCTTCATACATTTTAGAAAGAAGGAACAGAAAGAGCTTTTTTTTTCCTTCTCCCCCCCCCGGGTAGATCTCTTTTGTATTGCAAACTCACAATCTGAAGAATGTCCCTGGTCCCTTGTCAATTTGGCAATTAACAGACAAGGATAAAAACACATCAGTTCAATGGACTAATATAAAGCAATTCTTAACACCTTCAGGAAATTTTTTTTTGACAAATCCACCTACAAATGCAATGTATTCTCACTGCACTTGTTAGACTATGTGATAAAAGCTCATAGAATCATAGAATCATAGAATCATTAAGGTTGGTAGAGACCTCCAATATCATCGAGTCCAACCGTCAACCCAACAACACCATGCCCACTAAACCATGTCCCTAAGCGCCTCATCTACCCGTCTTTTAAATACTTCCAGGGATGGTGACTCAACCACTTCCCTGGGCAGCCTCTTCCAATGTTTAACTACTCTTTCAGTAAAGACATTTTATTCATCTGCACACCCACAAAGGAGCACAGAGAGAAGGTTGGGGAGCCCAAACAATACCCTGCCCGAAGGCTCCCAGGCTCATCCCAGGAGCCATCAGCCCATCAAAGGCCCTTCTGCACCAGCCCAGAGGAGCACAGGGGCACAAAGGCAGGTGGGAACCCGAAATAAGGACTCAGAAGAAGGGACACCCTGTCTGGATCCCCCCCAGGTCTGGCCCAGGACAGCCTCAGCCCCAGAAATGAAACTCACCCAGATGAGTCAACACCAGAGCACCTTTGGGACTGAGATGTGTTGCTGCCTGGGGGCACGGGACATGTTACTGGGTGCAGGGGAAGAGCATTTGGGGATTGCAAAAGATCTGTGTGGTCAGCCACACAATATTAGCAAAATGCTTCATTTTTTTATTTTTTTAAAAGATGGGTCTTAAACAAAAAGCATGTAGAAAATAGTAATGAAAAAACATTGAGAAAAAAATTACTGCACTTCTTCTCATCCCCCCTAGAGTTGTGAATGTCCCACTACACTAAGGTAGAGTTTGACGCCTTTGATGCCTACTCTGCTAGCAAAGAAGTACTTAGTACCAGCACTACTTTGAGGAGATCTTTGTTAGCTCATGTTAGATGCTGATGGTTCAGGATCCAGCTTTTGCCTTCTGGTCCGTAGCTCACATTAAAACCCCGGTGTGGAACACACTTCTCTAGTTTGAAGTTGCCAGCATGTTCCAGACGCAGCGTGTCGGGCAGAACAGCACAAAGGCAACAAGGGACAGCATCCCCCTACAGAGATATTTCCAGCTTTCCATTCACTGCTTGAATAGTTCAAAGGTCCTGAAGTCCTTTAGACTCAAAACCCACATACCCACCCACCCCAGCGGAAGATGGGGAAGGACACCGTGACCTGCTGCGGCTCTTTCATGACTGATGGTGGCCATCGTACAACCTTTC